CATGCCAGTCAAAACTGCTCATATTTTTCGAAAGCAACTGTGGCACGTTTGACCAAATTTGTTACGGCAATTCTGAATGAAATGTTCAATCTTTAACATATTCATTAAGCATGCCAGATTTCGAAGCACATATTCAGAAAATCAGGTATCCGCTGTCTTAGCATTTGCGTACTTTCTCGATCAGCGTTATACAAGAACGTCAGTTGACCTTTCTAAAACATAAGTAATGTATTTCAATAAGTGTTGCCAACGTTTAAACAATTCCGAACATGTATAACAAAAATGATAAACAATTTCACGTAATTGATTCAGTAACTTTTAAGTTCCGTGATTTCATGCATTCATCGCAGATATATATGAACTGGACGTAAAACTGTGAAACAAGGTCTAATAAGATTGATCATGAAACTCCGCAACACAACTTATTTTGCGTATTCGCGGTAAAGGGAGATCTTATTTGCTACATTTTCTCTTTTTTGAGACAAATTTGTGTTCATTTTTTCAAAAGTTAAGCACCAGTTGGAACAGCGCGATTGTTTCCGAACAATGTCAATTTATCAGATGCAATTGGAGTTTTGATATAAGAAGTACAAAAGTTCGGGTATTGCTGGTTTTTTTCCACAGCTTTAGAATTTTGAGTGGATATGAACATCTTCTGCATTCTAAAAATAATTATGCTCTGCTGTTGCTAAAGCTACAGATTTCATTTGGTATAAAAATTTTCAAACATGGCGACCACCTGTTCTTTGATGATGTTTTACACAAAATGGCTGAGGTATTTCCTTGAACCGAAAATCAGATTCCATCACCTAATTTATTTTTAAGTGAAGATTAGATTTGCGACAGATGGCGTGTAGATGGCTTTCTCTAAATTGCTCTATTACCGTTTAAGAAATATTCATATCAGGCTAAACTTCTTTAACGAATTAGAAGCATTCAATTATAAAACACTATACTGACAGAACCAACGTTTTCGTGCCTAATATTCGAGATAAGTGGCGATCTGCGGGAACTAGCCCGACCCATTGTGGCTATAGCAGAGCTCGACCTGAAAACTAAGCTCTTTGAGTTCAAGTCGATCTTTATGCCGATGCTTACCTACTGTCATGAGTCATGGACAATCACTGAAAAACTTCGAACCCTGGTACAAGCTGCTGAAAGAGCTTTTTTAGACGAGTCTCTGACTTTACGCGTCTTGATATGGCCCGAAACACTGACATCTGGAAGAACCTTGGTATACAGCCTTTGCATCTCTAGATTGAGAAGTCACAGCTGCGATGATTTGGTCATGTGCTGCGAATGCCTCCAAAAAGGAAGGCTAAGCAGCTGTTCCATGAAGATCTGACCGGCAGAAGGCTCAGAAACGGCTAAGATTACCCTGGGGCAAATATATGAAAGGTGTTTGTTCCAGACTCCAGTTATCTTCTGCTGAAGCTCAGACTCTGGCACAGGATCGGGAACATTGGAAACTCTGTCTGACGCGTCTATCTCGGCGACCCGAAAGGAGAATCGGCGATGGATGATGAAGATGAAGATATCGCAGGTAAAATCGGCCACAACACTTCACAAGTGTTACATAACTGACCTTCACAATACTAAAACAACACGTATACAAACATTACAGGCAGACAGTATAATTCTGGAATACGATTATGTCGGTCGCACTCTGATGGACATACAGGCTATTAGACTGAAAAACTGTTATTTACTCAATCTACAAGATTTCGATTGCATTTATATTCTTCTGCAGTTCGTCTATATGACTATTTGCTCAGTTGATTGTGAATTTTAGCGCTGATAGTTCATTATCACAAAGCATTTTAAAATGAGGTTGAACGCTATATTGAAACGTCGTCTGTTGCTTCCAGCTGTTTGAGGAATTTTTAAAGAGAGCTCCGTGGTAATTGATCATCTGTGTTTGATTCAACTCTAGTTATTTTGGCTGTTTGGAGAAGTTTTTATTTAATTGAAAACAACGTCTAAAATAATAGCAACTATGTATGTCCTATATACGTTTGTGTAGCAAAGAATGTCAGACTGTGTAAAAACCATTTCTCGATCAGTTTTTAAGTGTCTTGCCCGCGGTGGTGTACCTGAAATTTATTCTTCCCTCCCGTTCAAATTTTATGTCCAATTTTTTATTAGGACATCATATGTCATGCACTTTCCTTTTGCTATGCTGCAAAATAATATTTGCAGGTTGATATCCATTTGGACAGCATATGATTCATTCATAAGAAACATCAAATGACCATTATAAAAGGGCGTTTACACGATATCTGCTGATCGAAAACTGATTTTACTTGATTATCGAGTAAGACTGCTATAATACCGTTCTCTGTGCGTTGTTCCGAGTTCATTGTTGCTCAGCTGTTGCCCTTTTATCGTGGAAGGTTCCTTCACAGATTCGAATCCTCAGCTTTTAATGTGACATATTAGCGTGGTAATCACGTGTTTTATAGTCTGCTATCAGTTAAACAGCTTTCACGTCTGTTCATAACATTTTGGAAGCTTTTTATATTGAATGTGTAGCAAATATGACGACGTTTATGCTTTTTTAATTTCTTTTCACCCAGTTTAACCAAAATCTCCGATAAATCGTCATCCTTAAATCTTAATTGCAAAGTCTATCTGTATGGTCGAAATTAGAAGAAAGGAAGGAGAGACTGTAACGATTTGGATGTCGAGCTCCCATACGTTTTCATGATTCAGCGCCATTTGTAGTGTTGTTCGCGTTAACCTTATGCGCCCCCGGTTTCTATTTCTGTGTCATCAGTCATAATCTCTTTTTTGCTTTTCTAGTTTTAAGGCAATATCAATAGCTTGTCAGAGTAACGATTCTTTTCAGTATTCAGTTTTGAATCTTGAATTAATAAAAGGCGACGATCGCGACCGGGCTCGAATCCGCGACAACTCGGGTTTAAATCCGATGCTCGACGATTGGCCCCTGTCGAAACTGCTATGTAATTGTTAAGATGTTGCTAGTTCACAATTATGAAAAATTTTCGTGGAGATCAGGGAATTCGTATCTTATGTTGTTTAACAAAGCGGTGTTAAAGATGAAATTTGAGTTTTCTTTCAGGTTGTCTAATGCGTCACAGAAGCTGGGAAAGAATGCTAATTTTGAAGGCATTTGATAAAAATGAATCTGTTCCCAGTGATGAATTCTATTTTTGCTGTCTGATCAAAGGCCTGCAAGCGATGGCACCATCCACCGACAGTTCAATGAGAGGATCTCCCTAACCTCGAATGCTTTTGGAAACTTGTCCAATATTTGGGTTGAAAAAGGTGAAACCCTTTCCACGGAAATTTGCCTGTACTTTGCATATGTCAGGTCGGTGTTTTACGGAAAGAATGCCGTTTCTTAACGAACGAACACGAACGAGGACTGCACTGCATACAGCAACGTCGGGACCACTTAAGGAATGACTCTCTTCTATCATCCGGACAAGGGGAACCTCAGTTAATTGGTAGATTGGGAAAAGGAGTTTTCCCTTATTATATGAATTGGTTGAGCATGCACGATTTACTCAGGCCCTTGTGCTTCTAGTGTATGAGCCGAACCAAAAGACGACGACTAGGTCAGCATGTGCCATGTAGATACGAGGTAGAGGCGACAGGAATATTTCCTTCTGCGATACAAAAACAGGTGCCTTATGGCAGAAAGGCTGAAAACTGCGACACAACATGCACTGTAAGCCACAGATGTTTCACATATACAAACGCGATGATCTCAACAAACACATATAATATGCCGTATGAAATTCCTGCAGTGCTTTATGAAATTTTTTCGCTAAATGGTATTCAGACTTTATTCACCAGTTTGCGGTGGTCTGATGATACCACTGCGTTGATGGTTCGACATGGTATCAAACTTTTTTACTGCACTGGCGATGCGAAATGACCAATGACTTCCGACGACGGTTAACGGTCAATTTTTCGTTTTTTGGAATACAGAAGAGAACACAATAGAAAGGTCTGGCAAAGTCCATGATATCGCACGAAGATGTTCTTGATGCCTAATCCTCGTCCAGTCGGGTCAACAACAAAGTTGTCATTAAGACGGTTCAGTCGAACTGTCATGAGGAATGCCCTTCATTCGTTGTGGCCTTGGGTCAGCTACCGTAAGTTACACGTGAAGTTCCATGGGCAGATACATAAATTTTCTGATGGAGCATAATTTTACAAGTGTCTTTTGATCACGAACCTGTTTAGTGAAACCATATGCTACAGTGGCTGATTTTCTTTAACTCTAATGAACTAACATTAAAAGCATTGTTATAAATAAAACCGTGTTTGACCTCCCTGGATTACGTGTCATGTCACTGTCCACCGATTAGTCTCATCATCAACGTTTTCTGATGGACTGCTGGCTGAAGGTATCTGCAAAATTTTGTTATAAACTGTTTTTGGCGAATCTTATCCACTTTCATCAAATGAATACGATGATTTTATGCTTAAAAACGTCTCTATTTGTAATAAGGTTAAAAATATGGCTCACTTCTATACTGATGTTTGGCTACACCTGCACAGATATGCAGAAGATACAAAAAATATGAACGATGTGATCTCACGACTCAATCGTGCTAACTCCCAGAGTAAATGCTTACTATCCCAGACAGAAGATTTGAGTTAAGGTACAGCTTATCACTTCTACCGATCTCCAGCATCTGCACCCCTAAGAAGAGTGTGCCTATTAAATTTGGAGATCTTTAGCTATGCCATGATTTGTCTATCAAAATGAAACATGAAATAACATCTTTCTAACCATCTGCACGTGAGCTGGTGCTTTACAGACAAGGGACTGAAAAATGTGTAGAGAAATGTCACATGATTCTGTGATACTGTGAACAGTACCATGAAATGATTTAAGGCTGATGTAAACCTCGATGAGCTCAACAGGCACTTTCCTCACTTGGAAATTAGATCGGCTGTCTTGATACCTCCGTAATTTACGACGGAACAAGTCTGTAGGTACATATCCCGCCTATGTTCAAATTTTTTGCCTCGCCCTTATGTCTTAGTATTTTATTGGTCAAGTTATGTTAAGCTCAGCTGTGCTAGATGCTTCAGCGTGTGTTTAATTCTTGTTTGAGGCAAGCAGGAATCCGTAATGCTTGCAGTCTTGCATCCATAATACCCTATGTAGAAAGATAATTATCATTTTTAAACGATTAGATCCATTTCACCCAATAGCATTGACCCATACTCAGATGAAATGTTTAGAATACTTCGTCTTGTCCAACAGAGTTTAGTCGACAGAATGAGTACGCGGCATTTTGCATATAGAAATGAAATGGGAAAGAGTATGCCATCCACTGCGCCACCCTCAGAATCAGCTAACGTCTCGATAAGAGCAAATGCATCGGGAGGTAAAATTTTCTCCACCTTTCTGCAGCATTCAAAATTGTTGTACACGGCATCCTTCTGGTGAATGGTAAGACAGCCGAAGGACTGGAAAACAATCTTCGTTCATTTAAAGGTCAGTTCTCTCACCCATTTTCATCATGGTCATCGACGACTGCACCGTCAGTATCTCACTCGTTTATGTATGGTATGCAGACGAAACTGTCGTATTAGGATAGCCCAGGTCAGCCGGATACTGGTTTGCATTATTAAGGTGTGTAACTTCCTCTCATCAATTGATCTGGAACCCAGTTGCTTCAGAACACATGACTGGATATGTGTTATGCAAAATATTACAGGCCAGACGCTTCTCGACCTTTATGAATGTCTTCTGGAAATTGATGGTGAATGCATAAGGTCCAAAAGGCAAATTAAGTACTAAGGTTCATCTTATGCACTGGCTCCTACTGGAATGAGCATATTCCTGGGCTCACAGGCACAACAATACGATTTGTTACTTTTTAGTACCTATGGTGCTACAGTTGTATTCAATGGATTAGAATTTCTTTTGTTTGACTTTATGATTCTTCAGAAATCATTCCGCTTGCCGTGCGCTTATATCATAAGTTTAAGTGCTGCAGGCATTGGCTCCGAGCCTTAACGATGATGAAAAACGCCAAAAAGTTGTCTGAAATCTCGGTGGTCTTTAATTTATTGACCTGACAAATTAACTGGCAGAGTCTGCCGTGGCACAGCGCCAGGATGGGAAGAAACATCCACAGCAGCACTCTGCACCTCGACATGTCCGTTTCTCTGAAAGTTTGTCCCAAATTAGGTTTGGTGGCTTTTCATATGCGAGCATTTCGGCGAGGGCTGAACTCTTCATGAGGAGATTATGCCA